ATCCGATGACAATAATGGAGCACTTCTGTAAAATATACATTAAGCGTATGTATGTATGAAGTATGTATATCTGAAGTATAAAACCCACAGATATGCAATACATGTTAACATCTAAAAAATAGAACTTATTTTCTTTGTAAACTATCAATGCAAGATACTGAGTAGCAAAGAAGCCATATCAATGTCTTCTGTTCTTCTAGAAAGATCTGTTGTTTTAGTAAGTAATGTAACTGCCTCTGAAACATCTGAGTTTACATGTAGAAACAATCAAGGCAATATAATTTGTACATATTATTACACATGCAAAAACTTCCTGAAGAATATTGCCCAAATATAGAAAGTTTTCTGGATCTCAAATTCTCCTTGGTAGCATTTGCTTTATTATGGCTCATGTGGTTTTAGAGTCCTTCAGTTTATTTTGGAGAACCAGCCCCCTTAATAACGGGTTCCCTATTCAAATATGTGGCCCAGTAGACTAAGTTAAAAGTTCCAAACAATACTGGAAAAACAATTCGAGACATTTTGTCAATCTTACTGATGCTGTTGTAAGTCTTTTTGCTTTCAGGAGGCTTTTCTTCTACAGGTTTCACTGGAGCAGAAGCACTGTTTGATATCACAGATGGAACTGAGTCCTTTGGCATGTTTGGTGTGGGAATCGTCTTTCCAGTGCTAGAGGCATTAATCACTTTGTTTGCATGTAATTCACGTTCTTTCTTCTGTAACATAAATAAGGAAACATGATATAGTGTTTTTACAAATAAAAATATGTTCTCAGGATATTAACTATCATGCTAACAACTATCCTTTTTTGTTCTTATTTCAACTCCCAGAGTAACGCTTATGCAGCCCTTACTGTCTTCAGTTGACATAAATGAATGCTGAACAAGAACTAGGACTGGAATCCAGATTACCATGTAAATTCACAGATTCCTTTATCAATGCAAAGTTTACCTTGGGTGTGCCTAGGTGAACTAAAGGCACTGGGATATCAGTGTTTTGGGAGCGCTGCCATGTTACAAACATGACATCATACACCAAAGGAGACAATTTATTAAGCCATGTGATCCTTTCTACTTTTTCTTTGTACAGTTGTCTCATAGGGGATAAAATAAAAATGTTCAGTGTGGGCTTATTTGGTAAAACTTAATAGTATTAGGATATTTGAATTTCAATTTGCAATGTGCATATATATGTTTGAATTTCTGGCCATTGTGCCAGGATCCTGACCCACTGAACTCAGTAAGAACTTCAATGACAGTAGAAATGGACTCTACCTGGCACTAATTTTATGTTATGTCTGCTCACATCCTTAATTTTGATGATAAAAATCCACTATAACATAGCACAGTCATTTTAAGACTTGTACTCTTTAAAGGCATCTGTTAAATCAACTTTAGCTTTAGAGGTCATCAAACCATGGTTTGTGCCACTGATCTAGCCTGTTCCCAACGAAGGCACTCTCTTTTGAGAGGGCATTTTTTAGCTGTTAGGAAAACTGCTTCATCTTGAGTAACTGCTCCTTTGGGGTTCTTGTATCTTGAGAATATGATATAAGTGGCCTGAGAAAGTATCTTTGAATAGGGCAACACATTTATCTGGTATCTCGTTATTCCACTAAATTCTCTTTTTATTGACCACTTCTAATTTGGGGGCTAGTTGTATAGTTTTTGGGAAGGTTCCCCTTAACATTCTAATAGAAGTTTTGGGCTAGGGACAGACTGAGCCTGAGCCTGAATTGATTCAATCTTTGCAGGTTAGTCTAACCTAGCTTGGCTGAACTGGTTTGCAACAGCACAGAGATTTCCTCTGGACTGAAGAAATTTAGGCACATGCCTGCAGTGGTTCAGGCTAGAAGCTGGGGGGAGCTAGAGCACTGTAGAAGAGAAGGCCCTCCCTTCCCTTCCACAAGGCTGAGCTTAGGGGGACATATCCAGGCCCTGGCAGGATGCTCTGATTAGGGAGGGGTGTAAACCCCCATGCTGCCTGTACCATCCCAGGCTTTTCCTCACTTGCTGCTCAACAGGTGTGAGTGTTGCCAGCCCCCAGCCCCAGGCTAGCACTCTGAGGTGAAGTGGGGGTGTGCAGTGCAGTACATGCATCTGTTGGTGATACTGAGATTTTCAATCTCCCTCTCCCTGCTTCTTCATACTTTCTGCAAACCTAACAGGAGAGGGAGCCAGCAGGGAGCTAATAACACAGCATTTATCAGGCCATCAACAAAACAAAAGCCTCTCTTATTAGTTCAAGCTCTTCTTAAACAGCTTTTTCCAAGGAAGAAACAGAGGACATTACCAGTTAACCTGTTGATTAGCTCCAAAAAACCCAAAGTGGACACTGTTTGGTCTTTGTGTCCCAGTGAAATTGGAGACACTGGACACACCCAGACACCTCCCCGCATTAGTTAGTATACCACATGCCTAGGGTCCGTGGGGTTGGGGTCCATGCTGTGGGAAATTGGAGGGAGGGAGGGAGGGAGGGAAGTAAGGAGGGGGGATTCATGCTTGAGCTGCAAGTGACAAGGGGAAGTGGGGCAAGGGGAAGCAAGGCAGACCCTGCTGTACCTGCAGTCTCCACTGGAGCTCTCGCTAAGAAGCAGAGGGGTGGGGCCACCCTACTGCCTGGAGCAGACAGCCCAGGCCAGTTTGGCCCAACCCAGTCCACCCAGGGCTGCCAAGCATCTGGGATGCTGTGGGACTCTTTTAATTTAAACCAGGAAGGGGTCTAGGACAGACATTACATAAACTGGTTTGACCCAAATCAGTTAAGTCTGATACTACATTCAACCAGGTTTACCTTAAACAAGTTTCAGCCATTTTGAATCTGGTTTATGTGCACTGAGCTTATGCTCTGTTACAGGTTTAAAGCAGTTTTTTGCTCTCTTAAGCCGGTTTATGTGTAATGTCTGTCCCTAGCCTTGGAGAAAGAGAGAGAGAAGTGGTCACTTTCCACACATGGCAAAATTTGTATCTGATTGAACATAAGAAATCACTATGCCCTGTAAATTGTCATCTAAAGGTCTGTGACCATTTAATACATGTTAGTTAGAAATCTTTTTCATGGAGAAGGTTCACATTATACATGCAATTATTGGTTTCAAACAGGGTCCCAGTGCTTTTTCTTATGGCTGTCAGAAAGGGTACACTAAGCACCTTGATTTTAGCAGCTTCCAAAGCCTTCTTTCCATCCCATGCCCAACTTCTCTTGGTAAAATAGTTGACTGTTGCAAATTCAATCAGTGCAGAAAACACAAAGGCATAGCACACAGCTATAAACCAGTCCATGGCAGTTGCATAGGCCACTTTTGGCAAGGAGTTGCGGGCACTGATACTTAAGGTGGTCATGGTAAGGACTGTTGTTACTCCTTTAGAAAGGAAAACAAGAGAAAAGTAAGCTTAGTATTCTTTATAAGCCTTGGGATGTTTTGTTATTTAAACCTTGGTCAAAAAAGTACTTGAGCATATCCATTTTAGAAGTCCCTGGTATGTTCTTGAACAATAGAAATTTCCCCCAAGAGGTAGGTTAGAGCATACAAGCCTTTTTAAAAACAAGCTTGTGAACAAAGATTAGTTGGGCAAACCAAACTTTTCTATTTATTGTATTAATTCACTTTGATGTTTACAGCAGTTCTTACTAACACATCATAAAATCTATGTACCCTATTTACTTGATTCGAAGACAAGGTTTTTTTCTCCCCCATTCAACATGGGGAAAAAAACAAGCTTTGTCTTAGAATTGAGTATGAGACCACTCAAGCTGGGAGCTGTGGGGAGCAGCTGTGGGCTTGGCTGGGGACAGTGGCAGTGGCATGCAGCTCTTCCTTCCTTGCCCAGCTTCCCTTCCCCACTGTTTCTCTTGCTGGCTGGAGCAGGCTGGAAGGAGGAACCTGTGTACTACCACAGCTGCTTCTTGCAGTGTGGGACAAGAGCAGGTCAGGACCAGTTCTGTAGCTTCTCCCATGCCTGTGTCATCTGGGAGTCAGACCACTCCAGCTGGAAGCTGTGGGGAGCAGCTGTGCAAGAAGCCCAGCTTGGCTAGGGACAACAGCAATGGCATACAGATTCCTCCCCCCCTGCTCAGCTCCCTGCTGTCCATATATGCCAGTTTTAATGCATTTGTCTGCTTAATGCTTGTTAGGCTATTTTTTTGTAAATTTCTTAACAAATTCAACATTTTTTTTCTACTGGATTTAAACCAAGACAGAGTATGAACTTTGCAGAATAACTGAACAGGAAAGAATATTAAAGGAAGTAAAAATAAATTTGGATGTCATTTTACCCTACAGACAGCTAATAAATCACAATCATTAGCCATAGCTCTTGTAGGAAGTCAGAATTCCAATATTTATTTTACAATGTGAAGAAACTATGAATGAGATAATTATTAGTCATTCATTTTGAACTCTTGTAGGTACCAGATCCTGATGCACACAATGGCCAACACTCAGGGTGCAGACAGAGGTGACAATTTTTGCCTGATCTGGCCACAGAAATGGTCTATAGCCATGACCAAACACAAGTGCATGGCTGCAGACTGCTTAAAAATGTCTGATTGGGCAAAAATCTGAACACTCATTACATGAGGATATAGATAAAGACATTTGAAAACATAGCAAATTCTGTACCTTCTGTCTGTGCTGCCTGCCAGGCTCAAGCTGTTTTCAGAATGGAAGCGGGAAAAAGGAGCAGAGGGGAGTTCAGTCTGGGGGTTTTCAGCCTCCACCGGAGGGTGGGGTGGGACTATTGGAGCCCCCTGAGGTAGGGACACTCCAATTCACCCCTGCCCCTCCCATCCTCCAGCACTGGCTGGAGGATCCCTAGAATGATCTCCTTCTGCTCCCTTCCCTCCCTCCTATTCTAAAAATAGTTTGGGCAGGGAGCTGCACTTCTGTCTCTGCCCTCAATGATTCCACTTGTCAAGAAAAAAACTTAAACTTTTATTCAAGAAACCAAATTCTGTCCTCAGTATATCCATATAAACTCTGTAGATGCCACTGTATTTACAAAGCTGTTCCTTAGGGAAGAATTATTTTAATCTTATAGTAGCTGGTCTCTGTAGTGTTCCATTGATTTTTAAGCGAAACGCTCAACAGGTCCCAATAGGGAGTTTTGTATAAAAAACAGAAGCAAGATTTGACTTCCTATTAGTAGGAAATCTGCCCATTGTACAAAACTTGCTATTGCACCCCCTTTCTTTTCCAGCCAGTTGTATTTCATATTTCAACAGTCTTAGGTAAAACATTTACTTACTTCTTAATAGCAATCTTCTGGTGATTATTCAAGTGATTTAGAGTTCCCAGAAGGATTTTTCTTATTATAAATTCTGCAATATGTATACATTTTGTAAATGAGTAATTATATTAATTTGTATTTATGGTAATAGGGGTAATTGCCACTAATTAACCTCTTTATGGTTCTTCTAGATTAGCATTGTGAAAAACAAACATGCCAAAACTTTTGAAGTAAAATCAGTGTTTCAAATGCTGTTCCTAGAGTTTGCATTAAATCTTCTCACACTGATGATGATAGTAGATACCATGTTATTTTGTTTTATCTAGCCAACAGTTTAGAGCTTGCTATAGTAGGCACATGAAAAAAAATAAAACAAACAGATTTGATTTCTTCTGCCCTTTTACCTCTCCTGCCCTCATTCAATTCTTGTGTAATTTCCATCAGAACTGAACCAAAGGACTAGACAACTTGTCATGAAGGAACCCATGAATTTGCATTGACACAGAACTAAGGAAAATAAAATGTCACCTGGAACAGGAAATAGTATTGAGCTATTATTTTCTTGCAGAAAATCGACTATTAGACTGCTACTAACTTTTAATAAACATAACAAAGAAGTAGACTACTCACCAAAGACAGTTCTAGCAGGGACAGACTCTCTGTTTAGCCAAAATGACACTTGTGATAAAATCACAGTCATAATGCATGGAAGGTATGTCTGGATGACAAAATAACCAATCTTTCTTTTCAGGTGAAAATGTGCTGTCATAATAGTATATTCACCTAGGAGTAGAAAAAAATCAGTTGTGGGTAGAAATCAGTTTTTATTGAAAAGTAATATACCCTTTGGGTGTCTGTGCTGAGGTCTGGAAATTTCACCTCCTATTTAGGGAAACCATTCATCTTTTGATTTTTGAGCAGTCTTGGTCCATTGTGCCACAGAATACCAACATTAGGATCACAGATGCAGTTGGATCCTGCTGATCTTTACACCTAATTTCCAGGTCACCATTGGCTAGATGCAGAACACAGTCAAACACTCCTACTGCACCAAGCTATTCTGGACCTCTTTGCATCCTTGTTCCATGGCACTGCACCTGTCTAGATTCAGGGCCTGGAACCTGTCAGTTCTAACTGATTTTCAGATATAAGCCTCCACAATGTAAAAAAGAAACCATACCTCCAGAAAAAAGTGAGTAGTTTTGTCACACCACTACCATAAGAACCTGTACTAGGTACTTGAATCAAGGCAATTTTGGTCTCTGGAAAAACAAATTCCTCTGTCTACTTAGAGGACATTGTTGTCTTTCCTGCTCCCCCAGAAAGATCCAAATCTTGGGATATCCTGATGCCCACATAATTTACAATTAGCCATCATACATTTGGAGACTTCTGGATCAAGCTAATAGTTACTACAAGCTTATATGTTATCCTCTAAGTCAGGAGTTCCCACAGTGTGGCCTGTGATGCATTTGTACACCACTCAAGAAGGGACTTTTTAAGAATAGCCACCTTCAGCAGAACTAGCTGAGTGTATAGCCATTGACTCTTCAATAGTAATTTAGTTAAACAGTGATGCAGGATTCTCCTTATTGTAACTTTATTTATGCAAGACATATTATGTTACATCTATTGAACAGAAAGGTATTGCATGGTGGATTAATTTTGTTATGTGGCCCTCAGCATGATGTCCCACCCATTAAGTGGCCCGCCATAAACAGAATTCTGATAACCCCTGCTTTAACTAGAGAGCAATATATAACTCTTATATTGCTTGGAATACCTGAGTTTTGATATGTACTGGAATGATAGTGTGGCAAAAATATACATTTGACACCCAAATTCTGCCAGATCCTGGCACCTTTTGGCCACATCCTCTATATTCCATCTTGCCATAGTTTATCTAACAAATTGTCTTCCATTGCAGAGATGAGGACTTGTTAAGGCACTAGGTCTTCTTGTTCTCTTTTCTTTTGGGACATTTTCATTTTTGAAGCTAGGGTGGGGGGTGAGGGGGAGGGGGTGCACAAAAGATCCTAAGTTTGTTAATGGGATGCAAGGGGGAATCTCTGTGGTATGCAATGTGTGTGCCAGGGTACAAATGTTCATATGTACCCCATTGTATTTACCATCTATTAAATGGCAGTCTGCTATTGCAGAGGAAAATATATGATGAAATGGGTGTTCACTTCCACTCTTATGTTCCTGTATCCTATACTGTATTTTCTGAAGAGACAAATACTTTATAGACTTTTACTGCTTGACCTAAAAGGCTAACTACAATTCCTACTAATAGAATTGATTATTATCCTCTTTAGACCTGCCATTAAAGGAGGAGACATATTAGACTGAAAAATTTGGCAGGCAGCATAGATTGTTTCTAAAAGAGAGTGAACTTGATTAGTTAGGGGAAGGACCATACATCAGGAGGGTTTTGCTTGTGTAGATATGTGTAGATATAGTGCTACACCTATATAGCACTGGTAGAGTGGATACAATTTATATCAACAAAACTACACTTCTGCCAACCTAACTTAGCCCAGCTCCTATAAGCAAAATAAATGACATTAGTAAAAACATAATTTTAGAGGTATAACTGTGCTTTCATTTGGGGATCTGACAGAACACCTAGGTCAGCCAAAGCTCTTCACTCTCATGAGTCATGTAGCTGTACTCTTAACAATTTGTAATACAGGCCTAGTCTGTGCCATGCATCTGACATGTAAGTGTTCTGGATTCTATCTTCAGCTTGTGCAACCTCTCAGTAACGGATGAGACTGTGGGCCACTTTGAGGCGGATATGATCATTCCACCTGCATGCCAGTGCTGTTCCTACCCAGTGAGAGTAAAACACACCTCTGAAGGTGTGGGGAGGTTGTGATGGGGAAAGTCAGCAAAGACTTGAGGAAAGGAGCAACGTGAAAACTGCCAAACACCTTCAGTCTAGAAAGACTGCCTTGCCTTGTAGGTACAGAGAGAGTGGTGCCTTTTAAAATACCTGTCTGACTTTTACGAATATTCTCTTCAATCAGCTGCTCCCAGAATGCTGTCTATAGCTCTCACAAGGCCCCTTTAAGACTATTTCAGTATCTCTGCATAAATGTATTCCTTAAAACCACCCAAAATTAAATGTGGAGCTGAATGTAGTTGCCTTCTTTGGTGAGCAGAGCACCTGTTACTCTGCCAGGACCTGCCCAGGCTGCCTGTGAGTTTCAAGATGAAGTTTAAGGGCTTGAATTTGATTTAGAAATTCCTAAACAGTTTAGCACTTACCTAATGTAGAGACTGTCTCAGCCTTTGTTCTGGGGGAAGAACCTTCTTCTGGCTTGTCACTTTCTTGTGAAAAGGATTGCTGAAGAGGGATGGGGAGAGGGAGAAGGTCTGGTGTGAAATTGGGTAGTTTATCCCTACTGGATAATCTCCAATACACATTGATTGGTAGTAATCCCACACCAGACATCATGGCCCTTTTTGTGCTCTAGACAGGGCTGCACTTGCTCTCTGTTTAGCAGGATTAATCTGTGGATTGGTGCCAAAAATATGATGAATCAAGCAGAGCCCACATACGAGATATATTTTTCAAGATGCAACTGCACAGTGGTATGTTGAAGCCTGTATTTTGCCACTCAATTAGGTGTGGCAGCATAGGATGTCTAATTTGATGGTACAATTCACAGGGTGGAGTCAAAAACAGATAGAAACCGTCAGATAATAGATGTTGCTATGCTATGATGAAAAGACAATTGGAGGTCAGCCTTTTTTTAAAAACACAAAGACCTAGTCCTCACATTTAAAACCTTTTGTGGCCAATTCTTGCCACAATTTGTTATGCAGAATCAAGACAATAACCCCTCCACTAGTGATGCCAACCTTGAGCATCTGGTCATTTTCCAACAAGCACCTTTGCACTGCCTCCTGTTCTGCCCTTATACTGGGAAGAAGCTGGTTTATAAAATCAGCATTTTCCCTCCTGCAGTTATGATGCCTTGGAAAAAAATCAGCAATAATTGGGCATCTAGTGCTTTGGCCACAGCTCGTCATGAGGACCCAGGTGTCAAATCTATTTTTGAGGCACTGCTGCACAAGACTGTAGGAACTGGCAGGATAAGTGCCCTGGATTTGTTTTTGTGTGCTCATGTGCCAAGAGCAGTTGTGCATGGATAAGTTGGACATTTCTGTATCTAGAAAATGGAATTAGGATGACTGGGTATAAAAACTGACAGGTTCATGTGTTTTTGTAGTGCTGTGATGCTCTACAGAAGTCCAGCATTTTGTAGTGCAGTAGGAGAATCCAATCATGTTCTCTAGTCAGGTTACTGAATTTGGGGACTTGAATGCAGAAATCAGCAGGATCTGGCAGAATCTATGTCTTGGGCCTGGGTTTTTGCAGTATTTCAATTGCAGAATGTGCTGGGGATTGGGATATTTTAGTGAACTAAGCACAGTTTGCCATATTTTGTAGTCCAGAGGTAGAATTTTGTGGGGCAATAAGCAGGCTCTATCTCCTGTTCTAGGTATCTGAGAAGAATTAATGCCTTGCCTCCACCACTTTTTAGCCCTGGGGTATAAGAAGTGAGGGTTGTTTGGTGCAGTGTAAGTAGCTGCATGTGTCTGCATTTAGGATGTGGAATTTGGAATCTTGGGTTCAGATACTGGCAGGTCCAGCAGACCTTGGTTTTTGCAACATCATTAAGCCAGGCCGTGCAGGGTTTGGGGATGTTTCAGTGCAATAAGCGTGGAGTGACTATATGTGATTGTCACAAAGAATTTAATGGATTGTTTACAAAAGAATCAACTGAATCCATGTCCCAGATCTAAGTTTTCTGCATTACTCCAAGACATGTCAGTTTTTAGGAATGTTTGAAGCAATACAAATAATTAAATAACTTTTCTATTTGGCACTGAAACATGGGAGCTTGGGGGCAAAAAGCAGTTGGATCTACCTGGATCTGTGTGTTGGTTCAATGTGGCACCAATAAAGTATTACAGTTTCCAGGGTTGGTGGGTGCAAAAATCTGCAGAATCCAGCAGGATTGGTTTACAACCAGCCTTCATTGTTGTCTGAAAAGCCTGTCTTTGAATCAATAGCAATAAAGACATTGTGGTGTGTGAAACTTGGGTCTAAACAAACACTTCCTTGTGGAGCTACAGGGGTTGTGGGTTTCCCATGTGTCTCCAAAAATATAGAAGAGATCCTAACAGTTGGATTGTGCAATAGTGATTTGTTTTTCATTTCCACAATCACCAGTTCTGTTGGAAGGAAGAAATGCCTTAAGCATCCATTCATAAGTAACCCTGATTACTAGCCTACTGCGAGCTTGATGAAGTCCAGAAAATCCATTGCTGACTGATGCTTTCCCTGCGTAAAATCGGATTTTTGTATTTCGTTAATCCCTGGTTACAATCTGTGTCCTGCTCTTTGTGATCTACCCTGCAATCAGAAATCAGCCAGCCCAGCTGTAACACAGGACAACATGAATATAACATTTTGAAATTGGAAAGCAGTCATGTATTAGCCTAACTTTTAGAAAACAGGAGAGAGGTGGGTACCAGGCACAAACTTTTGGATTCCTATAATGAGTCTGCTGTTTTGGTGGATTAAAGAGTTACAAGGCATCCTCACAAACAAAGCTGAGTGTGACAAGTGACCTGGAGCTGACATTCTTGGAGTATTTGCTGCCTGTTTTGGATTGTTTCCTTGATCCAAGGAGGAGGATACATTTCTAGGACATGTCCCAATACCTCCTCTGGACCTCTTGCCTGACAATACTGAAAGTAAAAGGAGAGCTACCGTTCATTGCAGAAAACAATGCAGCTATGTTGGTGAACTGGTAAGAAACCAAATGTTTTTGTTCTTTAATGAGAGACAGTTCACTTTCCTCTTGAGACTTGTTGCTGTTATGGAAGTTACTGTCATTCTTTCTATATTGACATCTTTACATCTGATTGATTTTTTGGTTTGTCTAGTAGCTGTTCGATGGATATTAAAAGTGAGGGTAGAGCTTGCTACAGGAAAGGATGGAAACCTTGTTTAGTAGCTGCCCTGTACTGTACAAGGTTGTCCTTGCTTTGTGATTCTTGAAGAATTAGCAGCAAATACAGGTGAGCTCTGAGTAGGTCCCATCTTCAGCATGTCTATTTGGTTGGTTGATTTTGAAAGGAAAGCTTTTAACACCTGCCGTTCTTGATCCTAACAACCTGTATTTGCATGTAGGTGTGTGTGTGTGTGTGTGTGTGTGTGTGTGTGTGTGTGTGCATGTATGTGTACATGCATGCTTGAAGCCTCTTTCTCCTAAGTCTCTCTCTTGAGGATATTTGCCAATCTGGTATATTCTCCTCCTGATCCTGAATTAGACCTCAGAGGACGTAATTTTCAGCTAATGACAAGAAGGGTCTGTGTCTCCCGTGATTACCTTTCGGTGATTTGCTATTTTTTACATAGAGTATTGTTCAAATGTGTTCTATAAAAGCTCACTGCAAATGAAGGAAGCGTGGAAAACTGTTGTGTAAAGGCAGGATATTTTGTTTCCAATCACGGGAGACTTTACTCTCCATTCTATTAATACTCTCAAGACATGTGTATTATATAACCTGTTAAAGCCTGTGTATTGCAGAAACCATGTGACTCACAGGTCCAGTCTGGCTTCATCTCTCCCCCCTCAAGCCTCACAGTAGTCTCACCAACCACAGCCCTCAGCTGCTCTGATATGGAAGCCTTATGAAGGAGGGGGAGGGGCTCACGTGGGTTGCTGGCTGGCATTAAATCTTCTTTGTCTCCCAAGTGCTGCCACATCTGGCACTTCCATTTCCAGTTACAGAGGAAATGGGACTCCTTGGAGTTAGCACCTCCCCTCTCCTGGACGTGCAGCAACAAAACAGCTGCCTCCAAATGGTTTTGTCTAACAAATCATTTTAAAGCTAGGATTGAGATAGAATAAATGGGGTCGTTCTTTTAGTAAGGGGATAAGCCAACAATAGTGCTCGCAGCTTCAAAAAATGTAGTTGCTAAAGACCTACAGACAATTCCCAAAAATCCCTGGCAAGCAGCCAGAAGCCTACAGCCATTTTCCCAACACCCTCACTCAGCAGCTGGGAGCTTCTCCTTTGGGCATGTCCCCAGCGCAGCCGCTTTTCCTGTTAGTATTTATGTGGTAGAAAGTTGCATTCTTCCACACCTGTACTGGTACTGATGTTTTCAGTTCCTACAGTTTGTCCAATCAGGTGATACTGGTTGAGTCGTGAACCGTCTTCTGCCACCACCACAGATGTAGTAGTACTATTAGTCCAGACATAGATCACTTCAGAATTGGGATAAGCATCTAATAATGAGGGGAAAAAAGGGACATATTGAACAGAGCATAATTTTCTGGTGCATTGGGGAGCCAATCTTTTTGGCAGGCATGCCACAAATTAGCCTTGAACCATCCCTAAGTGCTATTCTGAACCCCTTCCTCTGCCCAATCTGCTACTCTGCTTTCTTCCCCTTGCCCTGTGCTCCGTGCCTGATCTGCTGCTCTGCTTTTTATTTTCTCCTTTTTTTCCTTACCCAATCTGCTGATCTACTTTCTGCTTCCATGCCCCTGTGCTGCCTGCCCACTCCTCTGTCTGCCATGTGCCATACATAGAGGTTGCCTGTACCACTTGTGGCATACCTGCCTCAGGTTGGCTACCCCTGTTCTAGTGTACAGATTTTTAGGAGGGGGGCAGGGAAAGAGGAGTGACAGTGAGTGGGTGAAAACAAAAAGATGATATGACAGTGTTCCCATATGTCCAGCTCAAAAAGTATTAGGTGGCAGCCCTGTGATATAACAGATGCGTGGGAAGGCACTATAAATATAATCCTTCAGGGCCATTTGATTTGGGAGAGGTTTTGACTTGAAGAGCTTGCTGTACTCAACTAGTTTGCAAATCATGGAGGTAGACAGAAAAGCACTTCTCTGTTGTAATGGCTTTTTCTAGCACCTCTACATTTGGAGTCGCTTGGGCATACTCAGTGCCTAGAAATCCATGGAATGTCTGCGTCTCAACACTTTTTCAAAATAAAATATAGGTATGGGCCAGTGAGTTTCAGGGAAAGTTAATGTGGATGACAGGAGGCTAGTGCATGTGTATGAGGGAGAGAAAGAGAGGGCAAGAAGGGATTTCTCTCCATTTAATAATCTTTATTTGGAAGTTGTAAGAATGTAGCTATGAAATCAGTGTCAGTGTTGTCAATTCATATGATTTTATTGCGGGTCTTACTTCACAATAATGCTTTTTTCAGTCCCATGACCTGGAGTAATGTTATTATAGAAAAATTTCAGCTTTCATTAAAAAAAAAAGAACACAAAAAATAACAACCCTTAAGGCTACAAGAAAAATCTTAAAACTTAGAACAGTAAGACCTTAAGAAACAGAAGGAAATAAAGAAGTGCCAACATTTATTATTAAAAATGTTACTTTTTAAAGCCACTTCCCTCATGTCTACAGTATCTAGCTCATAATCTTTGAATGTTTTCAAACAGGATTATTGCAGGAAAATAATAAAATAATAATTAGTCCTTGCAATTGAAGTTGCAAGGACTAATTTTTACCAAAACCTCTAAGAAACTGGCAACTAAGTCATCAACTTGTAAAAGCTATTCTTCCCCCAGATAGATAGTGGCTACTGTCATAAGACCTGAAGGAGGTGTACTTGCAGACATTAAACAGCTCAACTTGGTTCTTCACAGCAGATCAGCAGAAATTTTGTGTAAAAGATTTTTTTTCTATCCTTAAATATACAGAGAATTTATTGAACCTAAAAATATAGGAAGAGGTGAGGCAGATAGATATGGGATCAATGTGGAGCAGCAAAGAGGAAACTATGATGTGCAGTCAATATTCCAGGCCCAGGAGAGCTCTTTGTTAAAATACTGCCATGCAACTGAATAAATGCTTCATCTCCAAAAGTCATTCCCTCTAGAAATACTACTAATTCATCTCTGTTTATGGATGAGTTATCTTTCGGGCACAGAATAACACACATGAAGATCAATATTGTTCAATCTACTCCACACAGATATCAAAAGAAAAATAAATTGGACATTGCACTTAATATAAGTTAATTGGCAGGTGTGTCCACATCATTTTCGGCTCTAACATGGCCATATGTATTTTACTGCTACAAGACTTGCACTGGAAATTACCCTTTGCTGTAAGAATTGTGCACCAATTGTCTAATATATCAGTACAAAATATCAGTCTCTCTACATTATGGTTGTGAAGAAAACCTCAAGAACATGAACTCGAATAAAAATTGGAGTGACTACCTGAGTCTAGAAAGTCTGAAGAATAGCTCTGAGAGGTATAAACTGCCTTGTGTACTTTAGTAGGGCATGAATAGTGTTGATTATATCATTTCTAGTCTTTTAGAAGAAACATCCAGCTATTATATGCTAATCTCACAATCTCAGACTGCCTGACACTCCTCCACAGGTGCCAAAAACTCCAATTACTCTCTACCTAACTGCCAAAACCTCCAGCTTTGTCTCTGAGAACTTATGAAACATAATTATGCATTGTCACATTGAAAACTGAAAGTGTAGGAGTAGTCTAGAATAAAATTAATGCACTATCAAGAAAAGGCAGATCCTGATTGTGTTATTCATTATCATATTGAATTGAATAAAACCTGTTTTCCTAGTTATATAATGCATCCACATTTTACCTCACTGTAGTATTAGGTAGTCAGCAGCAATTCTTATCTGTTGCTCTCTGGCAGAAGCTACAATCATCAAGGCACTGAACGTCTGGACTTGGTCTGGCTTTTTGATTCTGCCTCAGTTGTCTAAAAGGGGAATAGTAGGTCATGGGCAGCCTCCACTCCTCTATGCTCTTGTCTAGGCGCATGCACCCAAGGTCTTGGTGACTAAACCTATTATGCATACACCATGATGTAAAGGATTGACAGTTGCCTACTAATGCTTTTACAAGGCTTTTTATCGGGCATGCCAGTGTATCAAAGAACTTAGGCCCACATCATGAATGGTTAAGAGAACTTTTGAATTTGAAAAGTACAAGAAATGCTAGATTTTAATTTCTCATTCTTCTCTGCACAAGTGCCTATCAGGTAGATAGGGTAGTTTTCAGCAGAACATAACTGGTGATAAAATGAAGTAAAAGATTCAAGGCCAATAAGCTACTGGCCTAGTAGGTTACTCAAAACATATCCCAATTTAGGAAAAACATATTTTTTTAATTCTCTCAGGCAAAGAAATCAGCTTCATCTGATATTCTTTATAATATTTATGAAATACTAAAGAAGAAAAACCCATTAAATACTCGTCCCTATTTTCAGTTTTTTCCATCAAAAAACAGGAAAATATAGAAGAATCTATAAAAAATAAAGAAGTGTATAAAAATATTATAACCTTTAAAAAGTATGTCAGCTAATAGTTGCTTCCCACAGGCATTTCCTACCTGGTAGAATGCTTATCACCTACCAAAGCAATGAAAAGAAATACTTTCTTTTGGTGTCTTTTGGTTAATGATCCATATTACAGTTTTCTGCATTCTAAAATGTAACAAGGTCACCACAAATGTAAAAAAGCCTCTATTTCTTCCTGTTATTGTGGATTCTTATAAAAGATTCTTATAAAAGGTCACTAGTTCTTCTCTACTTCCTTGAATGGAAAGGAGCAACAAGCATAGAGGATTGTCAGAAAAAGGGCTGTTTTTAGAAAACAGGAGACTGTACTTATGACAAGCAAAACGACAGCCTAGAAAAGGTTAACTGATCTGTTGTCGCATGGCTGGGCAAGATATATAAGGAACAGAAAGTGAAGCCCTGGAGCTAAAAGTATGTTCTGTTTTCCCTTGGTTAAGGGAAGTAAGGGAAAAGCCTTTGAGACAGTAGCCAGCATTGGGTTACTGAGAAGCTCTTACATGTTATTTATGGTTTAATTGTATCCTAAGGCAAGGCCTTTAAAGGACATGGGTGTAGCTTTGCTTCTCTTCTCAGGCTGGTAAAACAGCCAGTCGGTATTTGGTTTAGCTCCACAGCATACTCCTTTCAACCAATCTGCAGGTGTTCTATCAGAAATGGTATTATCATCTTGTCATGGCATTGTCTCTCCATTCTCAACAGTGCTCAACAGACAGATAGTACTGCTAACCCAGTATTAGCTAAGCACTTTTTCCTCCCACCAACTCTGAACTCCATCTTGAAAGAATATTGATGGGAAGTTGCTAGCTGCATGGGAGCATGATTCTTGCCAGCATCATAATGGTACCTTAAGAGGGCACTTGAATCTGGAAAGCCTCAAGTACAATGTTGCACCATATTGGCCTTATGCCTACTTGGATCAACTCCTTCCATCTTTTTATTTGTAATATTTTTGCAGCAAGAACAACAACAACAACAACGAACTGAAAAACCCTGAAGTCAAGACTGAATTTCTGGGCCTCTATGCAAAAACACAGATGGGAATAATTTATGTTCTAACCCACGAGTCAGTGGGAGTTGGGTGTGAGAATTATTTCTGGCATCTGACCTTAATTTAGCACTCAACTAAACATAATAATAAATATCACATGTCTGTTTCATGCCCAGTCTGTATGGTTATATGCCAAGGTGAGACAACAGAAAACAATTCAAGAAGAGTTTTATAAGCTTACAGCAAACTTAATATCTAGCCACATTTCTACATTCTGTCAATATGTAGTGTGAGGTGCTTATGATAATGGACAAGTTACAAACAAACCATAGTTAAAATACTTTAAAAAAGTAAACTAGTAACAAGCAGTACTGAAAAACTAGTTTGGCTTATCTTGATTGCTCATTGTATCTCTCTAGCTACATTCCCAGACTCTGCTTATTGTCATGATACTGAGTCCATGAAATTGGCTGTCCCTGACATGGTACAATCAGGTATCTTGGCTAATCTTGATGCTGTTACTTATTCCTATTAAGAATACTTAATCTAAAGCAATCTAGAGTAATCTAAAGTACAGATCCAGGGCTGTTAACTGGATATACATAAATTATCTGTTTACTCAGATGCTTTAAAGATAAAGAATTTTACTTTATTTTATCTAAATTGTTGGGATTCTAATATCTCTTTCTGGTAAAGTTTTGGAGTATAAAAGTAATTACTCTTATTGAACTGAGTTTCATTTGCCTTAAAAACATGGAATGTGAATGGTAAAAAAAAGATTCCAGGCCCAAGCCCCTAAAAGTTATAAATTATCATGTCTAAGTTCTTCATTGGTCCTAGCCTGTAGTTAATAGTTCTGCTGAAAACAGTTAAATCAGAACACAATCCAGTTTACACTGCATTACCAGGTAAAAGAACAGAAA